CAGGACATGGATTATGTTTCTTTGTATTCATTTTGCCAATTTCTGCTCTTTTTTTTTTAAAGATTTTATTTATTTATTTGAGAGAGAGAGAATGAGAGATAGAGAGCACGAGAGGGAAGAGGGTCAGAGGGAGAAGCAGACTCCCTGCTGAGCAGGGAGCCCGATGTGGGACTCGATCCCGGGACTCCAGGATCATGACCTGAGCTGAAGGCAGTCGCTTAACCAACTGAGCCACCCAGGCGCCCCCAATTTCTGCTCTTAACTGGAGATCAATTAGATTAATTTAAAATACATTTAAACTATGCAATGTTAAGTGCCTGACATGAAGCTTAATTTTAGTGTAAGTGCCTGACATTAAGCTTTTGATTGCTGAGGCATCCATTCCAAAAGATACACATCTTGGAAAACACATCGCCACCTGTATGACACAGCTACTAGCAAAACGACCAGATAAGGAATTAGGCTGCCCCCACCCATGAAGATCCCTCTTTCAGACTTACTTCTGTCATTTAACTCTTCTTTGCATTTCTTACGCGCTTTTTCCCCCTTAATTCTCCCATCACTGTTTCTTTGTGTTGAGTTGATTTTTATACTGTGCCATTTTAATTTGCTTCTTTTCTTTTATTCTTTTAGTTTTTTCTTAGTGGTTACCTTAAGGATTAAAATTAATATCTTATAACGACCTACCTCGAATAATACCAACTTAGTTTCAATACCACACACACTCTACTGGAATACACCTCCATCCTTCCCCTTTTATACTGTTATTGTTACAGACTACATTGTTATATATTGTCTGTCCATTAACATTAACTTATAATTGTTGTTTTATATATTTGCCTTTTAAACCATAAAGGTAAAAATAGAGTTAAGAACCAAAGTTGAGTAATTCTTTTATATTTACTTATGTAGTTTTTACCTATGTTATTTACTTCTTCAGAAGGCTTTGAGTCACTGTCTAGTGCTCTTTAATTTCAGCATGAAGGACCCCTTTAGCTACTTTTTTAGGGCAATTCTAGTAGTAACAAACTCACTTAGCTTTTATCTAGGAATATCTTCATTTCTCCTTTATTCTTATAGCACAGTTTTGCCAAATGAATAATTCTCAGTTGACAGTTGTGTGTGTTGTTGTTGTTGTTGTTTTGCAGCACTTAAAATGTATCAACTCACTGCCTTCTGGCCTCCAAGATTTCTGATGAGAAATTGACTGACACTTATTAAACGTCCCTCGTATGTGACAAGTTGTTTCTCTCTCACTGATTTCAACTTTCTGTTTTTATTTTTTCATAGTTGATTATGATGTGTCTTTGTGTGGTTCTCTTTGAGTTTATCCTACCTGAATTCATTGAGCATCTTGGATTTACAGATTTATGTCTCTTCTCAAATTTGGGAAGCTTTCAGACATTATTTCTTCAAAATATTCTCTCTGCTCCTTTCTCTTTTCTTCTGCTGAGATTCTTACACTATATTAGTTAGCTCACTTAGTGTATCATAAGGCCAATTAGGTTCTGTTCACTTTTCTTCATTCTTTTACCTTCTGTTCCTCAGACTCAATAATTTCAATTGTCTTATCTTCAAATTTGAATTTTTCTTCAGCTTGTTCAAATCTGTTTTTGAAGCCCTCATATATATTTTACTTCAATTTTTATTGTACTTTTTAGTTTCAGAATATTTTTCATTCTTTTTTATAATTTCTATCTCTTTATTGCTATTCTCACTTTGTTCATATGATCCTTTCCTGTCTTTGACCATGTCTTCCTTTATCTCTTTAAGCAACTTTAACTTAGTTGGCTTAATGTTTTTGTCTAATAAGTCTGACATCTGGGCTTCCTCAGATATATTTTGTATCAATTTATTTTGTTCTTTGAATGGGCCATACTTTTCTGTTTCTTTGTATGTCTTGTGATTTTTTTGTTGAAAAGAACAATGGATTCTTATAATGTGGTAACCTTAGAAATCAGACCCCCTCCTCTATGATTTATTTTACTATTGTATGGTGTCTCTGTGTCAGGGATCAGCCTGAGGTAAAAGCATTAAGGTCATCTCAGGTCTTTTTCTGAGCTTTCATCTTTCCCAAGCCTTTCTAAATTCCCTCATTTATTTGGTAGTTCTTGAATGTCCAAAAAACAAACAAACAAATGAACAGATGTGGCTCCTTTAAATCCTCCGGAAGCCACCTGAGCCAGTGAAAGTTGATACCATGGCAACCACTCTTTGGGCCTATACCTCCACATTTAGAAGCAACAATTCATAATCAGAACATTAAATGATATTGAGGACAAAGTCTTTATTGTCCACTCTGGCTCCAGCAAGCTGTGCCAGAAACACAGGTTGCTGTCCAAACAGTTGCCTACTGTGGGGCTGGGGATAAGGGATGGGTAGCTATTACCACACTGAGGGCTGAAATCAACCAATACTAAAGACAACTTACCAGCTAAACTTTATCTTAGAAGCTGCAAGCGTTCAAATAGACTCCAGAGTTCCAAAGCTGTTGCTTGAGACAGTTTCTGTCAGTACAATAGTTATCTAAGTGGACAGATGGATTACTGGAGCTTTCTACTCTGCCATCTTTCTTCTCTTTTCTTTTTTAAGATTTTAATTATTTATTTGACAGAGAGAGAGACAGCAAGAGCAGGAACACAAGCAGGGGGAGTGGGAGGGGGAGAAGCAGGCTTCCTGCCGAGCAGGGAGCCCGATGTGGGACTCGATCCCAGGACCCTGTGACCATGACCTGAGCCCAAGGCAGACGCTTAATGACTGAACCACCCAGGCGCCCCTCTGCCATCTTTCTTGATGTCAACCTACTCAGTTGTTTTTTGAAAGTCTCTCAAATTTGGGTTTCTTGCATGTATTTTTATAATTTGACAGAGATTATGAATTATTGACAAGGATACTACATAGGTAATGTGTCCTCCTCAGTGCATCCTATCAGGAGTTACTTGATGTCAATATATATTATTGGTGTTGTTAACCTTGGTCACTTCCATAAAATGGGGTCTGCCAAAACTCTACACTGTAGACTTACTATTTCCTCCCTTATCATTACTAAATATTTTGAGGGAGACACTTTGAGATTATGAAAATATCTTGTTTCTATTTAAGCTTCCCCACTCATTTCAGCATCTGTCAGAAGGGCTGGCCCATGGAGATTATTACTCTGGTGTTTGATGGTGATTTTTCTCTTTCTTTTTTTTTTAAGATTTTATTTATTTGAGAGCGAGAAAGAGAGAGCATGAGTGGGGGAGGGGAGAGGCAG